CTACTGTGAACAGCAGAACTTCCTGCTTCTTTTTAAAAAGAAGATAAGAAAAATATGGTCTTAAGGAGCTTTTGTTGTCTGCCTTGGAGGATAGGGCATGGAAGGTGAGGAGTGTAGGTGGAGGAGATGTAATGCAGCTACTGGTAGGTAAGAGTATAACAGAGTACCGAACAGTAAAGCATCCTGCGCTGTTTTATGTGTGATTGACTTTTTAGTCACTTGTTTCCATTTCCTATTTCACCCTAACTATAACCCCATCCTGTGCTTGATTTATTTCTCTGCCTGTGGTTCTCACCTAGTGGGCCACAGAATCTCCTAAAGGTCTCATCCCAGTGGGTTTGATTCAGTGGATCTGGGGTGAAGCAGCATCATTTCCATTTTTAACAATGCCCACGTGCAGCTGATTGCTCTGGTATGAGTTCCACACTTGGAGAATCCCTACCATGCAGTGCTACGCTGGTCACTCAAGAGCCAAATGTTTTCCTATATCTGCCTCCAGGTCACTTCAAGCCCCCACTTGAGACTTCTCTTTCACAGGTTCTAAAACCTACTTTAATTCTTCCTTAGATTCTACACAGAGACTTCCCTGTGCTGAGATGTATTTTTCTTGAATATACAACACAGAGCTACCATCCCTGAAATGTTTAGAATTTATTTCTCATCCAGCCACACATATTGTAGCAGCTCACAGTACTTGTGTGACTTCTTGAGAATCCTTTAGCCCATGAATGGCCCAGACATTGTATCCTCAATTTTCACATCTCATGGTCTTTTTAATCAAATACTAGCTTAATGTATTAGCTTATTTGTAGCACAATTATATTTTGATTAGTCCCTGTTAGCCTAAAGGATGCCTTCAATCTAGATATAAATAATTTAGAATGTTTACACTAAGGGAAATTACAGGGGAGGGAAGAGAAAAAAGGAAAGAGAATTTGTAAGTGTGAGTAAATGAGACAATGAGTGGCTGGTCACAGTGTGTGCAGGTGAAGGCAGGAGACCACTGGAGTTGCACTTTACACTGCTGTCATCTCTGGTCTTGTCTCAATAAGATGCCATTTTGAATTGTTTCAAATCCTCTTCTTTCTTATAATATCATTAAATGTGTCAAGCAAATGTTTTATTCATTAAGTAAAAAGAGAGTATTCCTCAGTTTCTGTTTGTTCTTTATATTCAGTTTTTTGTACGAATGCATCTATGGTTCTTCTGTGGGAGCTCCTTTTTCTTCTTATTCAGTGAATTTTCTCGACTGATCTTTGATATCATAGACCTTTGTGCTGCTTTACTGTCAGCATGGAAACCCGACTTCCCTTGATTAGTCTTCTCTATTACAGGCTAACAGAACTCTCATTATTGGCTCTAAAGAAGTTTCATATGCACACATACATACACAACACATGCAGAGACATAAATAAATGCACTGTGTCAGTTGGAACATCTGTATATCTTTAGTACAATCACAAATCACTCAGAGCCTATGTAGTTCAGGCTACCTTGAGGATTGATTCAGCTTTCAAGTAGCAGAGGGTGGTAAGATTAAAAGGACTGTTCTCATTGAGGACTTTTAAGTAATGACATTATTGGTTGTCCTTTGAGCAGCATGGAGAGATGTTTGAGGTCTGAAATGGAGATAATTTTAAAAGCCACATTAAAAAATGGGGACATATGTACAAGTCCCTCCACAAAAACTGCTACTACTTTACCATCCCACTCAGAGTGACAGTGGGATGCTAGGGAGAAGTAGATCTCAGTGCTCCATTGCATTTGATGTGAATGTGTTTTTACTGATGGCTCTGGATCAGTTTGAGTCTCTTAAAGAGATAGAGAGTGACAGATGCTTACTGAAGCAAAGGACCCTAAATAAATAAATAAATAAACAAGCAAGTGATACATATTTACAGGCCCCAAACCTGGAGATTCTGATTCTGTACCTCAGGAGATGTAAATCCTTCAGCTGACTGACAGTAGCCAGATGTAGATAATTTGGGTTTAGGTTGGGTCCAAAAGACATGAGCTTGAATCTTCTCTTGGGCAACTAATTTCTATAAAACCTTCAACAAGACACTCTCTTGTGAGTCCTATGCTTCTCCTTCTATGGTCATTGTCTTCTAGCCCATCTATACTAGGTGCAAACATCTTGAGGGGCAAATTTCTTGTGAGTCCTATGCTTCTCCTTCTATGGTCATTGTCTTCTAGCCCATCTATACTAGGTGCAAACATCTTGAGGGGCAAATTTCTGTGTATTTTCTTTTTGTCATTTGCTTCCTGCAAAGTGCCAAGTAGTGGCAAACTCTTTAATTCGTTTTAAAGGAAGCAAGGTAGGAGTGAATGAATTTGTGTCATTTGCTTCTTGCAAATTGCCAGATAGCAGGAAGCTCTTTAATTCATTTTAAATGAAGGAAGGTATGAGTAAATGAATTTGTGAATTGATGCTGGAAGGCAGGGACATATGAATGATATCTTGTAGCTGTGTTGCATGTGTCAAATGATATAATCAGACATAATGGGGGCTCCAAAATGTTTGCTTCTCCCTCTTTCATTTTTATATTCTCAAGTTCACGGTAGTGGCATTGTTTCATTTTTTTTTGCTCTTCTTTTTCCCTTTTGAAAGAGGAAAGAGACACTCTGTCTTCTTCCCTCTATTTTCAGTTTCACTTGCAGCTTCCCTCAGCAGATCTCCTTGCATACCTGACTAGCTCACCTAGCTGTACAGACTCTGCCTGCCTGATACCCTTCTTACTTCCTAAAGGAGAAGATTGCTTTTGCCTGGCATATTTTAAAACAACAATAAAATAGGCGTTGAAGAAATGAAAAAAAAACAGTTAAACAGAATTTTAATCACATTTGTATAATTATTAGTGATCTCGTGTTTCCCCCATTAATACAGATTAGTGGGGCATTTCCACATTATCACATAGCCCTTTCCCTCACCTCCTTGGCTTTCCCTTCTTCCGGAAGCCTCCACTCACCCACCTGTACCTTGACTACTCCTTGAATAAGAGTGTGTGGTGTTAGTATTTGAGGGTGTGTAGGAGTTGACAAAAATCCACCTTACAGTCTTTCCATGACTTGGAAACAAACCACATTACCCAGGGAGACTTCACACCTGTGACTCTCAACCCAAAATGTTGAGAAAGCTGGAGAGGAAGGGATGGCCACTGAATACATGGAATTCGACACGTTTGAGTTTCTTTGCCTCTATTTTCTGTGAACAAACTAGCTGTGGGAGAAGTAATTTGGGAAGTAGAAAATGTTTCATTCTGCTTAAAAAAGAGAAGGTAATCTCACAACAGGAAAAGTTAGAAGAATGAGAGAAGGTAAACTTCTTTTGAAAATAAAGGCTTTATTGCAAGAATATCACAGGGCAAAGTATCTCTGCAGGCCTGAAAACATCAGCAAGCCACATGATATGGATTTCTCATACTCAGGCAGGTGTGACCAGGCACCCATTCTGAATTCACAAGAGCTCTAAGACATTTCCTCTGGGGACCAGGCTGAGAGACTGCTGTAACTAGGAATCTCTTTCCTCTAAAGAACTAACACAGCCTGGGTCGCCCACAACTCCCACGGTGCATGTGTTCCCTGGAGTTCCAGGATCTGAAACTCTATGGGCTGCGGTTATAGAATAGCCTTGGGCACCACTGTGGGCCTGTGGAAATCATTGGCAGTTGTCACACAATATTTCAAGCTCTTTGTACCTGGAGCACTTTGTGCAGTGGAATATTTAACTAGAGTTTACCGATGAGAGGCAAGTTGGAATGACCTGCATTACTTGGTGGCGGGGCTGAGCATTTAATTCCAGTGTGAAGCTATTCATAGTCTTTTTTTTCTCTCTGCTGTGAAAACCAGCACTCTGAGGCTATTTCTCATTTCATCAGGAAGGTTCATAAGTAAGTGGAGAGATCCTTTATATTGCCCATCCCACCAACCTGTGTTGATGTTGGCCATTTCAGACTAACTGAACCCATCTGGAGTTATTATAGAGTCTGATTGTAATGCAAAAAATAAGTACCAGTTGAAGCCAAGCTCCTAACAGTGGCTTTAGGGTGAGACTTCAGGGTAGGTTAGAGAACTAGGAATGAAGGGAGGATGGTTATTCATCCCAGGACCACTTGAGACTTGAGAACACTGGTAAGTCTGGCAAGCCAGGGCCAGGACTGAGTCACCAGGAGACTGGAAGGGCATAACTCCTGCCAAATCTTATGTAGCACAGCATCCTGAAATTTAGGTCCTGACCACAACTAAGGCGAAATGAAGATACCCAAAATGTAGGTCTCCAGAGTGATGTTTATAATACTCCCTGTTGTTGCAAGCTGCTTTGGTTTATTTATGCAAAGAATATATCCCCAGGGAGAAAATCAAGTCATATCATAAGTGCATCAGAGAGCTTACTATTTAAGGAATCTTTTTGTGAAGGAGTAATCATGTACTAGATTTGCATTTGCTTTGTTCATCGTGTGTGTGTGTGTGTGTGTGTGTGTGTGTATCAAATTTTTATAAATTTAGGGCACATCAAAATATGCAGCATCAAGCATAGAGTCCAGCAGAGTTAAATTTTCCTTCTAGGTGAGACAAGTTATATAGCTTAACATTGTAATGGGGGGCTAGGTGCGGGGGAGAGCTGAGGATACATATTTACCTAAGAAGTTCTGCAACTTGAAAATGGATCTATGAGGTAGGTTGTGGGACTAAGTCTGAGTGAGGTTCCTTTGGTACAAGAGAGATAAGCAAAGGTGAAAACATGGAGAAGAGAAAAGAAGGCATTGAATTTAGTTTAGATTTTAGACTGGAGTGAGGAGCCAGGAAAACCCACAGTCCTCCGTCATGGCCTGCTGTGAAGCAAGGCCAGAGAGCACATCTGAGGGTTGTGAGTGTGAGTCAATACAAGATTAGGATAAGGACCAGTTTCCTCTGGACACCACCTTGTGAGGTCACAGAACAGTGGAAAGAATGTGAATTGTTATCTAGGACAGATGGAAGATTAGAACTAAGCTTGGTACTTGCCAGTCAGTATGATGCATCTCTTTGGGTGAGATTTTGTACTTACTAAATTTTATTATTATTTTAGTCTTTCTGTGCCTTAGTTTTCCATATGCTAAAGATCATGTTCCCTCCTCATAGTATTGGTGTGAGGCTCGGGAGCTGGTGAATGTGAAGTCCTTCATATTGCAGGTGTCCTTGGGTAGAAAATTAAAACTATCAATATTATTGACTGTTTATTTTTCTTATCACCATAAACATTGCTGTCAAATTGTACATGTCAAATTTGTGATATGGCTTTGATAGATTTTGTTGAAAGAATAAGCCATCTAGTAACCCAAAAAGTAGGGGAATACAAATCATATGTGAGCGTTAAAAGGCAGTATGGCTCTTTCTGAGAATTGCTTGTCTTTGCTTCCTGTCCTTACAAAGCTCCGTACCCTAAATTTCCCCTAAAAACTTGTCTGTGTCATGAAACCCACATTGCTCAGAAAGATTAAAAGCACTTTCAGAGACCCCGTGTGATTATTTTACCCTTTCTGCCCTGTCCATCAGATTCCCTAACCCTGTGATTAAACAATTAAAACATGTCCCTCTTCTTCCCTTTCTTTCTCTTTTTCCTTTCCTATTCTTTCTTTCCTTATTTTTTCCTGTTGTCAGAGCTGTAGGAGTTTCTCTTCCCTTTTTAATTAAGAGCGAATGAAGGTAACAAAATGTTTTATAACTGGAGAGAATTCACCAGCAGGACATCAAGGCAGAAATCCACATCCTGAAAGAAAGGCTCACAGACACCAAATCAGCACTGTGGGGCACGTGTCCTATACTCTCTTGGCACCCCGCTGTCTTATTGCCAGCCCTCCCTCTGCCCATCAGCCTGGAAGCTTTACCTCTGGCAGAAGTTCCCCTGTCTTTTGTTAGGAAAAGCTACAATTGGAAGCTGCTTTTCTAAAGCATTTTTAAACACACAGTGCGCTTCCCTGCAATCACTAGAGCTTGTAAGAATCCAGGGAGTTAATTCTTGCCACCCAGGGAAATGACCTATTTTCCCCGACTTTTGCTGACCCTCTCCTCATTGTGTAGCCGGCTCTCTTTCAACACAGGTACAGTTGAGGCGTGGAACAGCAAGTGACATAGAGGTCTGTCAGATGTCCACATGTGTGTGCTGATGCCGAGCAGGCTCGGGCTAAGAAAACATATGTACAAGCCCAACAAGGACCACTGGATCCCTTTGTAGGGGAATAGTACTGCATGGAGTCTGTCCTAGCTGTGCTCTCTGGTGACTCTGGAGTGTCCTGGCTATTCTGAGGATAGAAATTTTCTATGTAGCCAGTGTTGGATTTGGAGCCCCAAGTCTGACTCATTGCTTTCTGTGCTCTGCTTTACACATTGCACTTGGAAGATGGCACTCCCAGGCTCCTTCTGAAGAAAGGATGCTTTTATTAAAGTCCTGGTCCAAATTGCCTCCCTGTTGCCCTCTTTCTTTATCATGAGACATGATGGGTTATTACATTTGTGATTAAAAAAATCCGTCATCGGTATGTTTTGCTTTTTCAATTTTGTTGGGAGGTGATCAGGGCGTCAGTTCTCAGAGGAGCTGGAGAATGGAGAGGAGGGAATATATTTTGGTATTTAAAGGGCTTGTTTTTTTTAGTGCACTGCTGGTCCCGTGGCTCCAGCCCCTGCAGGCAGTCACTAAGCTGACCACAGACACCCTGTACAAGTTCTGCACAGTAGGGGACAGGAAATGGACTGGCTGCTTTCTAAGGCCAATGACCAGACTATAGAGGTCAACATACATCATTCTGGAGTATTTTAGAAAATCCAAATGCATCTCCTCACCATGGCGGTTCTATACTACCTAGTCAGTTTTTGGTTTCATATTAGCCTCATCCTTACTATGGATTGGATCTAAATATTTCACAAATGACTTTTTTTTTCTCTCTCTAGAGAGAGCATGTGGGACACAAAACCGAACTTTGGCAGCTCAACTAATGTGCAGTTCACTTTTAGTTTCCCTCATCACATAGATAACTTAACATATAGAAGAGTAAGACTTCTGTTTCTCTGTGCTGAGCCCACCCAGGGAAGGACTGGACAGGCAGTGACAGGGTAATTGGCACAGTCTCCAGGTCATTTTCTCCAGATCACTGTCTGTTGTCCCTAGGGCACCCTGACTCACCCACACGCCATCTCAGCCTGATTTTCTGACCATTTCCTCATTTCTCCTCTGTACTTGGGTGCCCTGCCTTGTGCTAGGAACACCCCTGGACCTTTCTCTTTACTCCTTGAACTGACTACAGGGGATTTTTCCTTGTCTTGTCCTGTGATGTGAGGCTTTTTGTTAGGTGACATCTACTATTTTTTAGTCTTTTACTTTCTGCGTTTTGTTTTACTATAGTCCGTTCACATAAATTCTGTGTGACCCAGAGGAGTAGTCTTATTAGCTACCACCCCAGGGCCTCTTGCATTTTCCCCAACTTTGGGAAGTTGCCAGTATCTCTGTTTGCCAGTACCTCCCTGTCTTTCTGTAAGATTTCTGAATCCTTCATTTTTGGCTATCAAAATGCTGTACTTTTCCTAAGGAATAGCCACATGTCATCTCTTGTAAGAATTCCCTCATGAAGACATGCTTTATTTGGTGCTGGATGACTCAGGCAGTATTCCTAGCTCTTGGGCAAGGCACTGAAACTCCCCTTGGCATCAGCTACTTATCTCTCTGTATATCAGTAAGCTCATTGGATTTTGGTTCCACAATAGAAAGTGACCTGATACTTACATGGGGGTCTCATATGAGGATTATCACAATGTGTACTCTGGGACTGAGAGAACTATATACATGGTTAATCATAAGCATCAGCAAGCATGAAAATATTTCTTATATGGGTAACCTGTAAATTTTGTTCTATAAATACTGAGCACAGAACTGAATAAGCCACCTTTATTAAAAACTCTACAATGGTACTGTGATTTAGAAAAAAATAGCTGAAATGGATAACCCCTTGACAAGTTTGTTACATCTAACTCCAAATATAAATAAATACAGTCTAGTGACTCTACCTCTCTGAAATTATCTGAATGCTCAGTTGCTCTGGAATGAATGAGATGCTCTGGTTTCTGTTACCTACAAAGCAGGAGATGGCAGAAGAGCCAGTTAAGTCAGTTTGCATCCTGCACCGGATGAGTGGCTGCTAAGCATTTGTTGTGCAGTCTCTTCAGCAAGGGTGTTTATATCTTAACATGTTCTTTTCATTTTGAAATAAAAAGACATTTGCACTTGTGATTGACATTTTTATTGCGTACTATGTGACTGACCTTTGCAAGCATTATCCCTATTAATTTTCATAATAATTCTACAACCTAGATATTATAATACACGTATTAAAGTAGAAGAAACTGAGATTCAGAGAATGTAATTATGTTGGCCAATATTATACGGCTACCCAGTCATACAAGGACAGAGCAATTCTTTCTCAGCCCACTGATTCCAGATATTATGTTCTTTCTAGTGCACCAGTCTTTATATATGTCCTATATTTTCTTGCTACTGTTTTTTTGTGCATGCCCATTCCTAACCCTGTAAAGCCTTTCATGATTCTGTAGCTCTGAGAGTGCCTTTCCTTGGCCCTTGCAAGTGTTTTCCTTCATTATTCAGAAGGAAAAACTGCTTTTATATGAATCTCACAGAACCTCAGACTTTATCTACAGCTTCTGACTGTAGATAAAGATTTTCATCCATGTAATATAGTCATGTACAAATTGATGGACCAGTTTCATCTTCCTGCCTGTACAGGAAGCTCCTTGAGGCCAGAGTTGATGCTCCGTCATTAATTTCATACGCTTAAGAGTGACTGGAACACATAAAGCACAATGCAGTCACTCAGTACACATTGTGGAAGATGAGGTCACAAAGGAAGGAGGGGAAAAGAAAGAAAAAAAGGAAGAAATTAAAGAACAATAGGCGACAGTATATAATTAAGTGCTAAATTCTGTGGTTCTGACTAATTATAAAGGCTTTTAAAAGAAATGAAATTTTATTACTTTCAAGAACATAAAGTTAAGTTAATTAATGGCTAACAATATGTTGTCAAGTAGCTGTCTTGTCATTCCCACTGTAATTAATCAACACTTTTTTGCATAAATGCAAAAGTGGACCTAAGCCCAACCTGTCCCCAGATTATTGAGAATTTTAAATTATCACAGGTTGAAATAATGAATTTTTATTGCTTTATTATATCGAAAGATGCAAGCATGTATTGATAGAGTAGGCAGAGATATTCTAAATAATTCTTTCTATTTAATGAGTAAAACGAGGACCTCCATAATTGTGGAAACATTTATAGGACCTTACTTGCTAAACTTGTAGCACATTTGCTTAGAACAATAATTTCTTTGACTGCTCCTCCTTTTTTTGATTCATTGAATGATTTGTTCTTTTTTTTAAAAAAAGAACTAAAACAGCCATTTTAAGGCTGTTTCATTTGTTTCTGATGAAAAATAAAATTTCATAACAAAATAAGAAATTAAGTAGTCATTTTGCAGGAACACATGCATACCCATGTTTATGGCAACAATTTATAAAGCTGTATCTTGGAAATAGCATATATGTCCATCGACAAATAAATGGATAAGGAACATGTGGTATTTATATACAGTGGAGTATTGCTCTGCCATAAAGAAAAATAAACTTGAGGCATTTATAGGCAAATAGGTGCAACTTGAGAACATAATATTAAGTGAAATAAAACTGTTTTAAAATGCTAAAATGATGCAGGAGTAAAGATGATGAAGAGAGCAGCAGAAGATTGGAAAGGAGCATGAGGACCAGGGAGTACTGGGGTAGGACTTGTCAGCTGTCTCTTAGAGGTACCAAAGAGAGAAAGGGCTGTTAAATAGTTTCCCGGTTTCTCACTTAGGTGACTGTTTGCAATGAAGTGGGGGACACAGAAGGAGAAAGACATTTGTTAAGAAGAACATGGAATTCATTTGGGCCTTCTGTGCTTGAGGTTCTTTTGAACTATAGAGTTTTTCAGAGAGCAACTGACATGTGAC